CCGCCGGTGAGTATGGTTGGTGTCTTTTTTTTTTTTTACCTTTTACGTTCTTCCGTTTCGTTCTTCCGTTTCGTTTACATTGCTTACCAAAGTTGATTGTTGGATGAAGTTTCTTGGTTTACCTGTAATCGTTACGCGAATCTTGGACGTCGTTGGTGTAACTTGTTTTCTCGGGAGAATATAATGTTTGAAGAAACTTTAGAAGCCTTCGATCTGTGTTATATCAGGTGTACAAATTAATTTGGGGACTTTTTTCATCAATTTCTGCGTTTGTTTGCAGATAATCTGTTTGTATTTATGAGGTAACTGATGAATTCTCTTTTTGGAAAAATATCGCGGTTTTTGGTAGATGATGTCAGCACTTTGTGAAAAAAGGCACGGAATTAATTAATTTGTATACTTAATATATACTGTGTAGAGCTCAGGAGTTTGCCCTTGGAAAAAATGCGGGTCTGATTGGGTCATAGTCCCATAAGCCCACATTTTCTGACACAATTATAAAAATAGGGTGTGTATTGTCATTATTGGCGATAACATCGACGAATCGGGCCAGTTAAATTTACGTAACGTCAAATTTAAGCGCTGCGGGCAAAGTTTGCCCTTTTTTGCCCCTGTGCCGCCCCACGGGCAGTCTCCTGGCCACCGCACAGTATTTTGTTCCAAGTAATCTATATTGAACCAGATTGGTCCGAAAATTAGTACAATTTAGCCACATTTTTGTATTTTCTTTCTTTCGAATTTTAGAGAACTTTCCACAGTCGACACAATTTTCTAACGTATCACGCCGAAAGGAACTGAATAAAAATCAACATCAATGAAATACGGTTAAAGAGTCACTTCGTTTTGAAAAGTTCCTCGGTCAACTTCGTTCCATCGTGGGAAAAGCAAAGATAACTCTACGCCTGCAACTTTCATTGTCCTTTCACGAGTCGCGTAAACTTTCAAGCCGATAAACAAATTGTAGACGTAATTTATGCATCATTTCTACACGCGTCTTTCTTGTTGCATATTTAATATTAAATCAACGTTCATCGTCCATTGTCCGACGTTGAAAGTTGCATTTTATCGCCCGTTACGTTTGTTCTCGACCATTTGCAAATTATCCACTGCATATGCACGTCGTTCAATTGATTTTATAAGGAGAAATCGTGATACAATTCCTGAACGTTTATAAAAATCACCGACTGTATTTACATAGCGCAATTCTATAAAACATATTAAATTCATAAGATTGAACAGTATAATACAGCATTCGCTACGATAAATTAAACTTTCTACTATAAAATAACATTCAACGTAAGAATTTTCCGAACAATTTCTCGAAAAAATTAACTCCGATAACTTACATTACTCCTATAATGACTTTCTAAAAAGCCAAATAACACACTCCTAACGATCATTATGAGTAAATTGCGACAACAACATAAAAAGCTCGTACAAAAAAATAATTACACATTTACTGGAATAGTAACGTTATAATACACCAAAAAAAAAAAAAAAGAACATTTTGCAAAACATCTCGAAGTACGAACGTAAAAACCAACGACAAAACTTCCCGACAAATCCAACAATTATACTTATTAAAAGAATTGCATAACAAAACATATAGTCGCGTTATCGTGTCGAATTACGCGTGTAACTTACAATCTAATCACATTCTGTTTATGTGTGTGTGTGTGTGTGCGTGGTGGTACGCGTGCGTGTGTACGTGCGTGCGTGTATGCGTGTGCGTATGGTTCGGTGGATGTTGCAGCAAACGCAGGAGTATCGCCGATGAGTATGCAAAACCTGGTCACCCTGGCTGCTATGACTGGCGGAAACGGCAACCTTCAGGTGTCGCCAAACAGTGAGTAATGAAAAACTTCCACACCACGGCACACAAGCATTCGATACGTAGACACACGTGGTAATATTGAACGATGCAATTTATCATTTATTTATTTATCATTATTCATTCGTGTGCATTGTCTTCCTGCTCTCCCCTCTACCTTACCTACCTGCCTCCACCTTTGCGTAGAGAAAATTGTTTCTTTTTTTTTTTTTTTTTTAATGAACGAATGTCCAAAAGTGTCGTACTTTCGCAAAAAAGGTTTGCTTTTGAAATATTTGACACTAGATTTTTGAATGATAACAGCATGACAGAAGTTTTGCGAGAACAAATATGTCTTACTTCACTTCGTAATTAAAACGTTACCGACTGGTGGTATATTTTTTTTTATATCGATTTTTTTACGAGACGCTAATTAATCTGGTAGCTGTTGATTGGATATTTTAACAAAATTTGTTCGTACGTATTTGTATATATTTATTTATGTATGTGTGTGTGACTTATGTAGGAGAAAATTGGACGGTGTAGAAAATGGCCCCAATCGAGACGAAATTTTTAGATGCTTGTTTGTATTAGCAAATCTGGGATGGCTTTTTGACTTTTAAAATATCTAAAATAATGTTTTATATATAAAATGTGCCGAGGACAATAAAACAAATCAACTTCACCGGTCCTAGATGTGATTTCGGAAGTACAAATTATTATTCACTGTAATCTGTTACTTTAAACAAAGTATTAAAGTTTAAAAAAAATAACGTGTAATTCTCGAAATAACACTTGTTGCTATTATATTCAACCATTGTACGTTGGTTCCGTCATATGGAATAATTTACGCTATCGCCATATGTATGGCATTTTTTTTGTCTCTAAAATTATTTATTATCTCTTTTTTGTTTATCTTGTATTCTTTTTACCATTAATGTGCAACTCCACTGAAACTAATTACACAGCAATTTATGGACGAAACTTCTACTTCGAAGTGCTCATATTTTTCCTGCGTACATAATATTAAAGAATATTAAACTTTTTCTACTTTTTCTCTCGTTATATAAATACAAATTAATTCGTAACTTCGAATACCAAAAATTATACTATATTCACCATCTCTTATATTTATTTCCAAGATTGCCCTTTCAATCTTCCGGTGAATATTTTAGCGAACAAAATTGTTTTGCTAATAAACCAGAAATATTTTCACGTATATCGTCAAATTGTACGAATTGCAATCAAACATTTACTATCACGCTATTTTCCGTATTTACTGTTTGCACCAGAGGCGCTCAACTTCTTGCTCACGGGCAAATTTCCCCTCCCGAGGTTCCCCCACTATGCGGTACGAACACGCAGAATGTGTAACATCAACCAATGGCAGTCGCTGGAGTTGTGGTGGGAGGACTCCTCGCGTCCCCCTCCCGCCGCGCCCCAACTCGAGCGTGACCATCTCAGTCGCATAGTGGGGGAACCTCGGGAGGGGAAATTTGCCCGTGAGCAAGAAGTTAAGCGCCTCTGGTTTACACTAAGAAGTAATCTAAAAGTGAAATTAATAATATAAAAATAAAGCTCATAGAAGTCGTTCCAGAACGAAAAACAAATGCAAACAGATAGAGTCCTTCTGAAAAACCGTGTAAAGAAAAAAATAAAAAGACGTTGCTATTTATCAGTTACACTTCCATTGTGCCACCCCTGGTTTACCTGGCATCGAAGTCTCGATAGGTGCAGCACAGCAAGTAGTTGTAATAACGTTCTCTGGTTGTGTTCGATATCGCACGACGAATACCTTATTTCGTACGGTGTGTCGGCTAAGTAAATTTCGGCCAAGTTTACGTGCTGAATATGTAAACACGTTACTAACTCCGCTTGTTAATATCGTGAACGTGTTCTATGTTTCAGCATTAAGCGGACTGGCGAATTCGACAGCAGGTATGTCGCTATGTACGTGTCGCATTGCCTGGTATAGTATTAACAATTACTAAATTAATCTCAGCCGTTCGGTTTTCCTAACATCCTTATAATTATTCACAAATCGACACACACGCACCTCTTTCCCCCCCCAGAAAAATTACTTACTTTACACGTGTCCGAATGATAACTAGATACATTATTGATCGTACACGTGCGTGAGGATGACGTTTTGTATTTTGTAACTGGTGATAGGCTTGAAGTATGTTTCAACGACGTAGAGAAAAAATTGTAGGTATGTGCGAGTGGTACAGATTTAGTTGTATAATTATTTGTACGAATAATTTAGGTACCTGGATGAGTTGCAGATGATAAACGCGAGATTAGGTTGAAGAAATACGCTGACACGATTAAATTTCATTTCTGTGAAATACAGGGTACAATTGGACAAGCATGGTAAAAGTTTCTTTAAATTAAATTGAACTTGTGACGATGTTAATCGATAGAATCATTTCTGCCAAGTTTCTCACCCCTGTTATTAGGGTAGTTACAGAATGAAACGTGTTTTACGGTTTAAACTTCGTTTCTTTTTTTGTCTATCGTATAAAAAATTATTGAAAAAGTTATTGTCGAAATTAGAGATAACGTGGTCCAGTGGAATGATCGAGGGATAATTTGATAAAGTATATCCTCTTCACTTTCAACCCTGCTGCGTTCTTCGTTTTGACTGTACACTTAAGACTTTTGGGTGAAAAAGAACCTAAGACCTTATGTGTAATAATTTTTGTGAACGTTTAAATTGATTATGAACGTTTAAAATAACGTTAAGGAACGTAAACTTGATAACAGCAAAAATTACTAAAAATATAAAATCCAACGCGACATATAAACGTTAAGGAACGTAAACTTGATAACAGCAAAAATGACTAAAAATATAAAAAGGCGGTGGGTCAGAAAAGACCCGCAGACCGCTCTAGGGTTAAAGATCTATAGATCTCCTAATCACGAAATAATAACTGTTTAAGAATTGTTTTAATACGATGCACACTTTAAGATCAATAGATCTCCTAATCACGAAATAATAACTGTTTAAGAATTGTTTTAATACGATGCACACTTTAAATATACTTAAGTAAATTAAAATTTGTTTAAAATGAAATATGCGAAAACTAAATGTCAGAAGGTGAACGCCTTTGAAATCGCTATACTAGTCTTCCTACACGTGTATTGTCAATGATGTATACTCGCATAAACGGACACGTTTCATCATACATAAGTATCTCCAATCCCTTTGTACTTCGTCCATTTACTCTTTAGACATTTTGATTTCAATATCACCGGATCCCTCACATTTTCTCGTAACGCATCAAGCGCATCAGACGATTATGTTGGTGAAAAGGCAGCAAACTGGCTGTTACAACGGGATTGATTAAGGTCGTTTTATTGAAACGTCGAAAATCCGCGAAGTTATGTCGCAATAACGTTTCGAGTTATACTTACCCATAATACTTCTATTTGCTCCATTATTCTTTATCAGGTATATTCTTTTCTTTTTTTTTTTTTTTTTTTAATACTATTTAAGATTCTCGTTATTAGAAAGACATTAACACATTAAGCGCCGTGTCAGTCACCGGTGACTGACAGTATACTTTTCGTTCAGGCCGCGTCAGTCACTGTTAACCGACGATATACAATTTAGAAAATTATATTCTTCTATCGATAAATTTTAAATAATTTGGAGATCATAAAAGAATGTACCTAAATATTACTTGTCACCAAAAGAAAATTTTAACGAGTATTATTAAAACACATGCAGTCTTATCGCAACCTTACACAGATCTCCTGCCGCCATCATATCGGTGAAATAGGATATCGCGGGCTAAACGGAAAGGAAGACAAAACAGGCTTGGCGCTTAACGTGTTAACAAAGACATTTCTATGAATTTTCTCGAAAATCACGCGTAGATCGAAAAATCGATAAAATTTGATAGACATATTAGAAATTATAAAGTATTCAAATTTTCCGAAGAAAATTACACGAGAATCGACCTGTTGATGAATTCGTTCGAAAATTAATCGATCGATTTGTTAACAAGTATTTACAACTTTCTTCATCTTCTGTACTTGAAAATAAACAAATTACCATGCTTGTTAAAAAACTCGATGAAAAGTAAAACAATTCGATGCATTTACTAGAAAATCGCGTGAAAATCGTCGGAATCGATGCGCGAGTTCGCAAAAGTTGTGCGCAAAATCAACCAAAAAAAAAAAAAAATGGCGACGACGCTCCTCCGATGCAAACTCTCGAGAAGTTACGCTAAACAGACTGACTCTCTTTTGCTCCACGACAGAGACGTAGAATTCGCGTGCCCATTTCTTTCTTTCTTTTTTCTTTTTCATGCGAGCGCACGTCACGTGTTTTAATGTGCACATTTTTTTCCGTGCGTAGCTGTCCTTCTTGGGAAGACCGGAAATACAGGTGAGAAGAGATCATTGAAGCCAGTATAACATGTTCTTTTAACGATCCGTTTCTCGCGGCTCGTTCCTCCTCGACTTTTCTTCTCTCATTTCTGCGTTTCTCTCTCACTCTCGTCACTCCGCCACCATACACCGTTTTTCTTATGGTCATCTCTCTCCTCCCCTCCCCCCCACCATTCTCGTGCACAATCTTCATAATACCACGTGGATTTTGTAATTACCGGTTGGCCGTTTTTGAATCGACGGCACGAAAGCTCCGCATCGATACTTTACGTCCAGAGTATGTTCTTTTTCTTTTTTCTCTTGATCCAGCTTTAACTCGTGTATGTTGTCTCGTAACGCAATTTTGACGGTACGTAAGGAGGTGTCGCGATGGATTTCTACAGCCTTTCGCGACGCTTTCTGTTCGAAAATGTCCGTTACAATGATACGAGGTTTGAGTTACGCTTTTAGAGAATTTTCAAGTATACAGCTGGTCCGTGTATACTTGAAGATATTGGTGATATTGGAAGTAATGTTAATATCATGGTGAACGGTGATTATTTGGTTTCGACAAGATGCATTCGGTTGTTGAGGATTTTTATTTTATTTCTCACTCGTTTTGATAAGGACGTTCTCTTCTTTTGTTTTTTAGACAATTGACTTTTTACTTGGTTGAGAGAGCTAACATTTGGGAAAGGTGAATTTGCAGAAAACGCATGTATCTGGATACGTATGATTTACTTTTCTCGAAGGTGGGAAATTTTTTCAGGGGAATCGGGATGTAATGGAATTGAACGAATCTTGTAGATCGATGTGGAAATCGATATTGATTGAAACTTAATTAGGTATTAAATACAGTATGTTTATAATTAAAACGTAACTTAAAGGTGGACTTTTGTACTCTGAAATTCTAATAAAATATAGTTCGATACTGTTCATTTTTCTTCTTTTTTCGTATTTTCACATTGAAATTCCAGCATTCGATTTTAGAGAAAATTAATATAATATGTAATACTTACGACAGATGACAATTTTTACAGTTTAAGTGAGAAATCACAGACGAAGATTCTATTTTTTCTGCTCGTCATTTTCAGTAACCGAATACATTAGTTGCTTACATTTGCACCAGTTCCGCTCAAAATCATTCGTACCATGTACTACAGACCACATACAGGGTGTTCGACAGTCTTTCGTATCAATTTGAATTCCTGAAGCGACTCCAAGTCGAACATCGAAAGTGACAAAATTTGTGCCTACGTCGCACGCAAAATCACGCGAGCTCGCCACGGTCTGGCGGATTATAGCCATAAAAATCATTAGTCGCCTTAGAACCTCACTTCGGTCTACCATGCGCCGCGCGAACGTCGTTGTTCGCGCCCGCGGTAGCTTTTCTGGTCGTAAAACGGTATGTGCCGCTTTCGGGGCTGACAATTTTGCATTAACAAATTCGGTACCCCGAAAGCGGCTCACAGACGTCCCCTTCTCCGAAGAAACGCGCTGCGGGCGCAAGGTGAGGGTTGTCGCCACCATTTAGGCACCCTGATTGCTGAATTTCCATTACACAAAATTGTATAAAGAGCGAGCTCACCCTCGCCCGTCAGCGAAGATCACCAGTAAAGTTCAACTAAACATCAACAAAAAAGAACAGTCTCCACGTACCTTTTCAACGAGGTTCAGAATCGTTAAGTCAAGGCTGAACCG